GAATGTATATATTTTTAGTCGATGTGGAATTTTCATGACGCAGATATGAGACGTCCCATGAACTCGTTCACTAAAATGTTCCAGTTTTGTATTTTCATCAGTGAAAATTAAATTAAAGTTTGATAAATAATGGAAGAGCAGATAATGATATACTATAAACATTGGAGCACCAAGTTTTCTACCTGCTTCGATGATTGTATGACTCTTTGTATTATGATTATGTATCATCTTTCTTACGTTAGTAAAATTAGATTTTGACGGGAGGAAAAGATGTAGAAAAGTGATTAAAATTGAATATATTTTGGCTTCAGAACCGCTCCTACTTTTTTAAAAATGTTCCTTTCAAAAGTAGCAAAAGGCAGCTACGGTGGACTAGCATCAAGCCATCGACGAGAAAGTCTTTCGAGCTTTTATGTCTACCTCGGTAGCGGAGGGAGGTTATCCTATTCCGAACTGGCTTTCTAATGATCATGATGACTTGAAATGTAGCAAGCCGAGTGAGTTTGTGCCGACGAGTATTCCTTTCTTCCACACATATTGAATCCCAATCTTCCAAAGGTTGTATTGTACCGGTGATATAAGTTAAAGTATCTGATTAGTTTGGTGCTTGGGACACATCAAGACGTCTTTCACCAATTTACTAACCAGACAATATACATGTATGGACACGAGAGGTGGTCCCTTGATTCTCCTCTACATATCATGCAACTTTGCTTAATCCCTCAGTTGCACATTTATATTCCAATGAAGAATTTATCAGTAATAAGAACCAAACTATCTACTACTATTTTACCCCCAAAAAAACTATCTTGCACTTCATTATCATGTGTATGTTTCAATAGTATCAGTTACAAAAACGGTAACGATAATAAACATTACAAGTATCGTTTTGTATCACCCAATCACTCTTTGATATTCAAACAATTTAGCAATCAAACCTAAATTGCTATATATGTAAAATCATTCTCTTTTTAACACTTAATTATCATATAGTCTATTGTATCATCATTACATATATTTGATTATTGTTAAATAAACTGCACCTAGTTGAATATCATTGAAATAACATTAGATGTAAAACCACATTCTACCAATAAAAATCACAATTTTTTTTTTTAAAAAATATAAATTTGGCCACGTAGAGCAGCGGTTTAAGAGCGGTGGTTGCTGTGTACTACTAAAGTACCACGTGTCGAACCAGAAGTAGGTGGTGGGTTCGACCAATCTCTCCACTTTCTCTCTCAGTGGCTACCGATTCACCGCTCCACTTCCTCCTCGTCTCCTGGAACCTCTAACTTTTTTATTCCTCTATTTCCCATTTTACCCCTCTCTTTTAAATTTTTGTTTCCACAAAACCAAAAATCTAACGGTGAAAACAAATAAAATTAAAAAATCAATCTCTCTGTACCAAACAGACTACGCGAGAACAAGATTCGACCCCAACACC